CTTTCCCTATTTCTTCCATAATCATGCCTAGCTCTGTGTTTGCTTCTTTGACCACTGATATTTTCAGAGAACTGTCCAGAAGGACACCAAGATGTCTTTCCTGAGAAGTAGCCAACTAGAGCCAACCACTGTTTATATAAAATGCCTCCCATATGCACTGCTACTGGTTTTCATCTCCCTTTTTTATCACTTGTCATTCTGTATCATAAGATTCTTGGTATAAATGCATAGATTAGCATCATTAGAAAACTTTACTCACTTACTCAATAGCTTTTCCGATTCATTTCTGATTATGCTGAATTATTTAAGTCCCAGCAAAGATGTAAGCGAAACCAACTGGCAACCTCACTCCAGTGTGAAACTAAGCTTATTCCTACCCTATTTCCTAACTTTTAGCAAGTTGACTTGTCAGAGACCAAAGCTCTACAAAAAGATGCACCTTTCAGCAACTCTACAAACTACAGAAGGATAAGCAACCACAAATCTAGGCTAAGTACTAGATATTATTTCTTTTTTCAAATACCCATCTGAAAAGATATACTTCTAGAATTAAAAAGATATACTTCTAGAATTAAAGCCATTTCATTATTTAGCTTCCATTGAACAGTTTGAACCCTCTTAATATTAATAAAAACTATTATGACCATTCATAACTGTTTAGCACCATAAATGACATCTGCTATACAAAGCAAAAGAAATATGACCTAAACTTGGATCACATTAAAGCTGACAGTAACGCAAGTGCAGCCTATGGAATAAACTTACAACAGTGGTATCAGCTTAACTGAACTCAACCTCGAAGGATTATATGCTATTCCTTACACTTTATAACCAAGTTGGAAATGTCACTGAGACAAAATCTTGACCGTGACATTATAAACACAAAATGGGCTGTCACATTGTTTAATCTGACCTTTTCAGAAATTAAATCTCACACAGATAAAATGGCTAATGACTGGATAGCTCTTCAGTCCTCTAGAAGTTAAACAGATGCCTAGACAGAACAAGACACTGACATTCAACCAATACCCAAGGTCCCTAT